GTATCTGTGAAGGCAAGAGGGCCTCAGATCACCTAGAATGGGAGTTACAGGCAATTGTGAGCAGCTTCCTGTGGATACCAGGCTCTCTGCTAGAGTTGTAAGATTCTGAACTGTTGAGCTATCCCTCCAGCCTATAGCTGGGAATTTATTAGATTAAAAAAAAAATGTTTAACAACAATTTAAATAAAAAGAGGGGTACTTGCTGTGTGGAGATGGTACAGGCCTTTAATCCCAGCATTCAAGAGTCAGAGGTGGGCAGATCTCTGCTTGAGTTTGAGACCAGCAATTTACAAGTTCCAGGACAGCCAAAGCTACACAAAGAAACCCTGTCTGGAATAACCAAAAATCAATAAATATAAATAAATACGTCATTTTTTATGCCAGTACAAAGCTGTTTTTATTACTATAGCTCTATAGTAGAGCTTGAGGTCAGTGATGGTGATGCCTCCAGAGGTTGCTTTATTATATAGGATTCTTTTAGCTATCCTGGGTTTTTTGTTTTTCCATATGAAGTTGAGTATTGTTCTTTCTAAGTCTGCGAAGAATTGTATTGGGATTTTGATGTGGATTGCATTAAATCTGTAGATTGCTTTGGTAAGATTGCCATTTTTACTATGTTAATCCTACCTATCCATGAGCATGGGAGATATTTCCATTTTCTGATATCTTCTTCAATTTCTTATAAAATTGAAGACCCTGACATTAATTCACACACATATGAACACCTGATTTTTGACAAAGAAGCCAAAACTATACAGTGGAAAAAAGAAAGTATCTTCAACAAATGGTGTTGGCATAACTGGATGTCAACATGTAAAAGATTGCAAATAGATCCATATCTGTCACTATGCACAAAACACAAGTCCAAGTGGATCAAAGACCTAAACATAAATCCAGTTACACTAAACTTGATAGAAGAGAAAATAGGAAGTAATCTTGGACACATTGGTACAGGGACATCACTTCCTAAATATAACACCAGTAGCACAGACACTGAGAGCAACAATTAATAAATGAGACCTCTTGAAACTGAGAAGCTTTTGTAGGGTAAAAGACAGTCAATAAGACAAAAGGACAGCCTACAGAATGGGAAAAGACCTTCACCAACCACACATCTGACAGAGGACTAATCTCCAAAGTATATAAAGAACTCAAGGCTGGAGAGATGGCTCAATGGTTAAGAGCACTGACTGCTCTTCCAAAGGACCCAGGTTCTATTCCCAGCACCCACATGGCAGCTCACAGCTGTCTGTAACTTCAGTTCTAGGGGATCTGGCATCCTTACACAGACATACATGCAGGCAAAACCCCAATGTACATTAAAAAATAATAAATCTTTGGGGTTGGAGAGATGGCTTAGTGGTTAAGGGCACTAAGTTAAGAGCACTGACTGCTCTGGCAGAGGACCCAGGTTCAATTCCCAGACCCAGGTTCAATTCCCAGCACCCACATGGCGCCTCACAACTGTCTGTAACTACAGTTCCCGGGGACCCAACACCCTTCCACAGGCAAAGCAAACACCAATGCACATACAAATAAATAAATATTTAAAAAAAAGAACTCAAGGAACTAGACATCAAAATACTGAACAATCCAATTTTAAAAATGGGCTTTAGAGCTAAACAGAGAATTCTCAACAGAAGAATCTCAAATGGCTGAAAGACATTTTAGGAATTGCTCAACATCCTTAGTCATCAGAGAAATATAAATCAAAACGACTCTGAGATACCTCCTTACATCTGTCAGAATGGCTATGATCAAAATCACTAATGACAGTCTATGTTGGAGAGGATGCAGAGCAAGGGGAACACTCCTCCACTGTTGGTGGGAGTGCAAACTTGTACAACCACTATATGGCAGTTTCTCAGAAAATTGGCAATCAATCTATCTCAAGACCCAGCCATACCACTCTTGGGCATATACCCAAGAAATGCTCAATCATACCTCAAAGATACATGCTCAACTATGTTCATAGCAGCATTATTTGTAATAGCCAGAACCTGGAAACAACCTAGATGCCTCTCAACTGAAGAATGAATTAAGAAAATGTGGTACATATACACAATGGAGTACTACTCAGCAGAGAAAAACAATGACAGCATGAAATTTGCAGGCAAATGGATGGAACTAGAAAATGTCATCCTGAGTAACGTAACCCAGGCTCAGAAACATGGTATGTACTCACTCATAAGTGGATACTAGCTATAAAACAAAGGACAATCAGACTACAACCCACAGATCCAGGGAGGCTACCTAGCAGGGGGGACTCTAGGATGACTGTGGTTTATAATAAGTTTTGGTTTTGCCCAATCACTGGGAAACATTTTGCTATTAGGATAAGAATTTGTACCGTATCAAGCTAATGAAAGAAAATGCTGGCTGTACTTTCAGGAGGGGAGGCTAATATCTTTTTAGATTATCAATTAGCCTATAGAAAAATGCCTGCCATAAATCAAACAGTGAAGGGGAAGATGAATAGGAATCTCATTTACACAACTTAAGTAAAACATAGCTCTCTGAACAGATGAAGATAGGTTTCTTCTGTATCTCAGAATCTAATCAATGTTTATATGTATAATTCAGCTATTATTTTGGCTTAAAAAGGCTTATTGGGAAATGTTATCATTTTTACTATTTTTTTTACAGAGAAAATATTTTCCAGTTTCAAATAACCCTGGACTTTTGAATTATAACCTGTTTTTATGTTCATGTGTGTGTGTGTGTGTGTGTGTGTGTGTGTGTGTGTAAAAAACAACAACAAAAAAAAAACTCCCCCCAAAAATATAAATAAATAAATAAATAAATAAATAAATAAATAAATAAATAAGTAGAGGGGTGCCCAGGGAAAGAACATGTCCAAGAACAGGAGTATCCTCAATGGAGAGTCCTGCTTAAGTGACTTAGCAGTGGCCATTGATATAATTTTGCTGGCTCTTCAAACTGTTTTTTCCATTTTTTATTCCTTTTTCTTTTAATTTTATTTAAACCTTTTCATACAATATATTTTGTTCATCTTTCCCCTCCCCAACTACTAGATTCTCTCCACCTCTCTACCACCAACTTCATTCGCTCTCAATACAACAAAACTGAAAATCAAAATAGACAAACTAAAGGAAAAGAAAATCAAAAGACAATATATATATATACATATACATACATACATATATATATGTATATATATATATATATATACCAAAACAAAAGAAAAAAAATGCACCAGACAGAAAAACCCATGGAGTCCTTTGTGTGTTGGTTACTACACCTGGTCTTGGCTCCTGGCCTGCAGTGTGGTAGCTATACATAGTAACACTCCACTGGAGAAACCTGACTTTTCTTTTCCCAACAGGTTTCTGTTGTGCCCTGGGCAAGAGACCCTCGAAGAGACTGCCAGAGACACGAACTCACCGAAATGCAAAAGCAAGGTTTATTGAAGCAGTTCAAACCACGGCAGGGACCTCGGTCAAGTACCCCGACACAGATGAGGCTAGAGGAGGGGCCCACCCCTCTGCAAGCTCAGTTTTTAAAGGCAAAAACCATAAGGTTACATCAATTAGGGGTGCTAGTATGGTACGGTTCTGATGGGCTCAAGTTTTAGGGGCTTTTCAAAATTTCTGTGTTATCTTACTTTGTAGTTTTAACCAGTTGTTTGTCAAACTTCATACACTACCTCCAGCATTGGGGCATTCTGTGGTTAATCAGTTGCTACCAGATGGCTCTTCAAACATCCTGACTTTGTCTTGGGACCTTTGTCAGCAGCTCTGAGGATTTTGAAACTCAGGCCTGTTTCAAGCTGGGGTGAGCGGCTTGCTTGGAATGGGGGTGCTTTGGTTCTTCAGTATCAATTGGGAATAGTTTCTTGCTTAGGTGTAACACGAATTGCTAAACGATCTTATTAATAAAAAAAAAACCTGGAGCCAGATATTGGGGTGAAAGCTGAAAGATCAGAGGAGTAAAACAAGCCAGCCACAAGTTCTTACCGCTAGGAAATCCTCAGCCCATGAGAGCTACTTCCTGTATACTCATGCCTTATATACCTTTCTGCGCCCTGCCACCTTACTTCCTCTCTCTACCAGCCACATCACTTCCTCTTTCCGCTCAGCTCTATCACTTCCTATCTGTCTGTACAAACCTCCAGACCTCTATGGTTAACTAGTGCTAGGATTAAAGGCATGTGCCACCACTGCCTGACCTCTATATAGTGGCTGGCTTTGTCCTCCAATCCCCAGGCAAGCTTTTTTTTGTTAGAGCACAAATAAAAAATCACCACAAACTGGGCAGTGGTGGCACATGCCTTTAATCCTAGCACTTGTGAGGCAGAGCCAGGTGGATCTCTGTGATTTCGAGGCTAGCCTGGTCACAGAGCGAGATTCAGGACAGGCACCAAAGCTACACAGAAGGAATATATATTATATATATTATATATATATAAAACCACTTAGGTGGGGGACTTCGTGTCCATTTCACCTTCTCTCTGCTAGGATTTTGTCTGATTTGAACCTGTGCAAGTCTTGTGTATGCTGTTACAGTCTCCAGCTCTCTTTTTCAATAAATGAGAGACTATAGGGTGTCTCTAGATGTGCTTTGTATAAAGATGCAATCTAAAAAATTAAAAATAAAACCATGGGTCAAAAGGGTTGCACAAGACAAGAAGGCTAAGATGTGTCTTTTTCTATTAATGGTGTTTCTTGTGAGATTCCTAAAAAGTCGAGGAAGGAGAAAGGCCAGATGTATTTAGACGTTAAGCATGATTGTTAATTTAATAACCCCCTTTGAAACATCTCTATACAAAACCCAGCAAATACTGTGAATTAGTCTAGAGTTCCTGACTCGGTAAATGAGCTCAATCAGACTCTAGGATGAAGAAGCCCCTTTCTCTTCTCTTGCTCAGTTTTCCCTGCCTTTCTACACTTCCCCTCCTGTTTTAATTATTAAAACATTTCTTTCTGTTATGCCCAAATCGCGGGGACCCCCAAAAGACCACCACAGAGACTGAATCCGCATGTAAAAGCAAAGAGCCTTTATTCTCTAAAGCTCCAAGCTTGGTCTCTGTCCGACACATTGGTGAGAGCAGAGAGCCCTGAGCCCAGGCCGGGTAGGGTTTTTATCATAGCAGAGGCTGGTGTGAGGGGATTTCCAGCGTTCAGGATCCTGATTGGCTGACAATTGTCTAGGGCTGTAAAACAAAACTAGCTGTGTGCTAGACTCAAGGACTTCTGGCCACCTTATCTAATGGTTGGAATGTTTGGGATGTTAGGTATTTCCCCATCCCTGGGTAGATCCCTGGGTGGTGTCAGTTTAAGGCTTTTCCTGGATCTGGGTGTTGCCTGCTAGTAAGCCTGTCACAGAAGCTACATCCAGGCCCCCAAGCCTGTCATGGCAGCTGTGTGGTCATGTTTTGGGGCCCCTCCACACTTTCCTGGGTGTGGTGATGCACTCCATTAATCCCAGCAGAGGGATTAAAGATCAGGAAGCAGAGGCAGGCAGATCTCTGTTAGTTCCAGGCCAGATTCTATATGTCTGAATTTATATCTATATCTAAACTATATCTATAGCTATATGGATCCAATGCCCTCTTCTTGACTTTGTGGGCACCTGCACACAAATTGCATACGCTCGCAATAGACACACATCATACAGAAAAAAAAAAATTAAAAAAATTAAAAAAAGAAATTTGATGTTAATTTAAAAAAAAATCTGTCTTCATGGAGAAATGATGAATAACTAAAACAAATTAGAAAAAAAATTCTCCAAGAGGGTTCACTGAGGCTGTGTGCTACTGACAGAGCCGGAGTAGGGAGGGGAGCAGAGAAAGGTAGAAAGTGGGGAGGTGCCAGCAGTTTACACTTAGGCATTTGGGGAAAGCAGCTACTAGTTCATGTGGGTGTCAGATCAGTAAGTCTTGTGTAATGACTCATTTCATGAAAGAAAAGGGAGCATTGTTCGTGAATTGGAATAAAAAGTTACGTTTTGAGAATTCAGAGGAAGACGTTAAGGTAAACCACAAACTGGTGAGACTGTTGCTCAGGAAACACATTTAGATTGCCCTGTAGATGAGGAATGTCGACAAAGCTGGCCAGACACACAGCAGACAGATGACAGACAACGAGGAAGCAACAGAGAGGGCAGCCAGACTACCTTTAATTCCACTAGTCTTGCTCAGATTTCCAAGGCAATGTAGTGTCATCAGGACTTGAAATGTGAGTCAAGTAATTTACCTCTGCTCTGCCTTGCTGGCAGTTCAAAAGGGTATGGGGGGAGAAACGAATTTGTTGGGAGGCTAGAGGGTAGCATATAGAATTAAAAGAAAAGCAGAGAAATAAGCCTGGAAGGGCAAGGGCTGGAGTGGGTGCAGGGAATCTGATAGATGATCTTTTATCCCTGCATTGTCCTGTGAAGATTCCAATTCTGAAAAGAGCAGTTTTGGATTAGCATGAGTTATATGTCCCGCTCTTAGCAGGGCAAGTTAACCCTGGATGCAGATGGTGAGGCACAGTCACTGGAAGTGAAATAGAGTGAGTGCCCTTAACAGAGTGTCACCAGGGGTTATAGTACCACTTTTGCAGGGACACTCACTGGTCTCATAGACTAAAAGGAATTTTTAAAAGGACTCAGGAAAAGAGATAGACTCAGAAGGAAATACATAGACAAACAAGGGTCTTTTTTTTTTCTTTAAATTTTTTTTTCATTTTACATACAAACCACAGTTCTCCCCCCACTCCACCTCCCCCCACCTCCCCCTCACCCACTCCTCATAGGGTGTAAGTTCTTCCTTGGGGAATCAACACAGCCTGGCATATTAAGTTGGGGCAGGACCAAGCCCCTCCCCCTGCATCAAGGCTGAGCAAGGTGTCCCACCATAGGGAATGGGCTCTAAAAAGCCAGTTCATGTACCCAGGATAAGTCCTGTCGAGACAGGGTCTTACTATGTAGTGTTGATTGGCCTTGAACTCAAGAGATCTGCTTACCTCTGCCTTCCTCTAGAGGGTCTAGATTAAAGGCATATGGCGCCTTGACTACCTCAAAGACAATTTTATTGGCATTTGAAAGAGAAAAACGACAGGGCAGGCAAGCTGAGATCTCTTGGCAGGTGACAGGAGGAGTGTAGCTGGAGTTTTCTCTCCAGGTCACGCCAAGCCCCAGCAGTCCAACAGCCCACTTATAAAATAATCACTCAGAAGCTCATATTAATTAAAATTGCTTGGCCATTAGCTCAGGCTAACTATTGACTAACTCTTACATCTTGAATTAACCCATTTCTATTAATCTATAAGTTGTCATGTGGCTTATGGCTTACTGGTATTTACATCTTGCTTCCTCTGTGTCTGGCTGGTGACTCCTGACTGAGCCTTTCTGTTCACAGCATTCTCCTCTCTCTTTGCCCCGCCTATACATCCTGCCTGGCTTCTGGCCAATATTTATTAACCAATCAGAGCAATACATTCACAGCATAGTGAACATCCCACAGCAGAGGAGTTAGATGGGAGAGGGAAAAATAAATCATGCAGGGCAGGGCTGTGGTAGTACATACCCTTAGTCCCAGCACTTGGGAGGCAGAGGCAGGAGGTTCTCTGTGAATTCAAGGTCAGCTTGGTCTACAGAGCGAGTTCCAGGACAGTCAAAGCTATATAAAGAAACCCTGTTTCAGGAAAATGAAAAAAAAAGAAAAAAGAAAAAAAAAGAAAAAGAAAAAGAAAGCAGGCAGGCTCAGATCTAGAAAATCTGTGGGTTTCTGAAAAGATGATGGTGATGGTAATTTTTAAATAAATAATGAGGATACTTGGGGTGCTAGGGCAAGCAGGCTCACCTCACCATTTTGTCCAGTGTCTAGAAAAGGGACATAGAAACCAGGGTAATAGAAATGTTGTGCTTTTTGAGTTGAACTAAGAAAGTGGGTTGGCTTTGTCCTGAGGCTCTGTAAGCACCAAGGCACTGAGGGTGGAGTTTGGGGGGTGTTTAATTACATACCTTGTTAAGGGATACTTATTCCTTCTATTTCCTTATGTCTTCCATTATATTATATATGTATACATATATACATATACATACATACACATTATCTATCTATCTATCTATCTATCTATCTATCTATCTATCTATCTATCTATCTATCTATCTATCCATCCATCTATATATCATGCAGAGTTGTTGCAGTCCATCTATTGCTGAAACTTTCTCTGGCTCATAGGAGTAAGAATACTTTAAGAATGATTTCTACTCCTGATGGCATATATATCTTGTATGATCCTTATTGTACCCGTGTTGTGAAACCCCCAGAGACCACAAGGAGCTGGTTCCCGATGCAAGCACACAAGGGTCTCTTTATTGTCAGGTTCGAACCTGGGCCAACAACTTATGCTCCCACACAGTGAATGGAGGGAAATTCAGTGGCCCAGGGCTCAGGGGTTAGAGAAAAAACCACACACCGGGAATTACATGCCTTGGTGGCTTTTGGGATTGGTAGAAGGGATATGGAGCAAGGTTTTTTTTTTTTTTTTTTTTTTTTTGAGACTATTGGTCTAGACTTTTGGTGTGAAACTACATTTGAAACTATTGGGTTAGGCTCCTGGCAGGGGAACCACAACCTACTAACAGGATTATCTGGATATCTTCAAGGGCCATAAATTGCAGACAAATGTCTGCAGGAGCATCTGGATCTTGTTAAACTTTACTGCCCTGTATCTGTTTGAGTTGTCATGGCACATTCCTGAGATTCTTCCTGGAACTGAGTACAGCAGGTGGTCTAAGATGGTGGCCCTTCCCTAAGATGAAGTCTGTAAAGTCAAGTCTAGGCCCTCTCACAATCCTCTCTCCTTGAATGTAGCTGGGGTGGGGTGGGGTGCAAAACAGAATGACCACACAGCTGCCATGACAGGCTTATTGGCCCAGACACAGCTTCTGGCAGGCAACACCTGGACCCAGGAAAAGCTATAAGCTGACCCCACCCAGTGAAGCCTAAGAGGAAATACCTCACATTCCAAACATTCCCTATATACCTAGACAATTGTCAGCCAATCAGGGTCCTGAACCCTGGAAATCCCCTCACCCCAACCTCTGCCAAGATAAAAACCCCACCCTGCCTGGGCTCAGGGCTCTCTGCTCTCACTGCTGCATCAGACAGACAGAGAGACCAAGCCCCAATCTTGGAAATAAAGGCTCTTTGCTTTTACATACAGGATTCTGTCTTTGTGGTGGTCTTTAGGAGGTCCCTGAGATCCGGGCATAACATAGTTAGAAACAGGTGTTTATCACTTTTGAAAATTTCTTATGTCACACCCAGTCTGTTATGTGCCACAAAGAAGGAGAGAGACAACACTTAAAAGGTCCAAAGATTTTAATAAATCATCACATAAGCGGGGTCACTGATCAATCAGGGCTGCAGGACAACGACTCCAGGAGCCTTGTTTCTCCTGGTAGTCCTGAAGAGGGCAGAAGCAGTGAGTATAAGCACAAAAATCACAAACATTTGTTGCTAAGTTATAGTTACAAGTTTCACCAATCAGGAATCAAAGATTAGGTGTTATAAATTATTACTGGAGGGGGGACCCCACATATTCAGGGAAACATGATGGGCAGATGTAGCGGTGGGCCGGTGGGCATGACAACAGGGCAGCGGGTGGCCATTCACAACCCAGAGGCTGCATCCATGTGGAAATGGTTTATTATAATGAGGGATAAAGAGAAAAATAGGAAAAGACAGAGAGGAAGAGAAAGAGGGGATTTTGAGGGTGCACACCTGTGGGAGGGAAGCAGAAGAGGAGAGAGAGAGAGAGAGAGAGAGAGAGAGAGAGAGAGAGAGAGAGAGAG